GTTACTTTGCATTAATTATTCACAAGGATTCTTGGTTGTCATAATTATTCACTGGTCATCACACTTGATGTGTCTTATGAGAATTTGTGGTCGAATGAATGATCACAGAAATAATTAGGACCATACATATTTCCCGGTTATTTTGTATGGCAATCATGGATCAATTTTGGAGAGATATGATCAGATACAAATCCATTATATATTATTTAATACAAATTAGATGAAATAACTAGCCAGAAATAATACAAAGAGGGAGAAATAATATAAATGGATGATAAAGAATCAAAAATATGCAGAAATAGTACATGAATAGTTTGTTACGGGCACGAAGGTGTGGAAGAAAAAATTTAAAACAAAAAAACATACATGAGATTATCGCCACGCAAATTTTTAAATCATTGAGTTTGTACCACCGTAAACGACATGGTTGCAAAGTTACCGTTTCATAAACTGGTATTGAGGTGTCATCCGAAAATAATGGTCCGAAAAATAATGGTACTATATCACCCAAATCTTGACATACCAAATCTTCAGGTTTTTGACGTATTTACTGTTCTAATAATTTAATATGTTTACATGGAAGCTTATGCATTTCCATACATGGAAAAGAGTGTAAACATAGCTTATATCTCAAATTCCATCTCGGTTATTTATTTTCATTTCTATTATTACATACTAACAACCACTTATGAATATGCACAGAATAAGAAGCAAGTAATACATAAACTTTAAAAAAGATGCCAGGTGCAAAATTGTTTAACTATCACACAATTCTAGCTGAACAATATTTCAGGGTGTTACGCTCCTGTCAAACAATTTATCGAAGTATTATTTGAAAAAGTGTGAAAGATACAGCATAGAAAAATTATTTAAAACAGAATGCAGAAAATCTTTATAATTTCATGTAAAGTAGAATGAGAAGCGTGACATCCAACTTCTAGCAAATTCTTTCCTAAGTTCTTAACGTAGTTCTCAATTCCGTAACACTCTTTGAGAACAGTGCATGTGAATCCATGACGAATTAAAATTTACCTTTAGCTTTTATTGCAATGATTTCTAAAGGTAATATACAATTCATGCTGCATAGTTGTTTGACCCGTTATATTTTGAAAGGAGAGGAAGAAGGGGAAAAAACAAAAATGAAGTGAGTTTTAACACTACCTCCTTGGATCCGTTGTACTATCGGTTTTACTACTAGTAGGATTACTGGTTCCAAGACGATCAAGATGTGGTGGTATCGGTGGTGGCCGCATAAACGACATATGAGATGAACAGGGTTCACTGACGACGGCTGAGAGAGGCTTGATTTCAAAAAGTCCACGCGGTTGACATAATGGAGTAGACGATGATGCCGGAGTGTTCAGGAGTGGTGCAGCAGAATGAGATGAGAAGCCAGCTGATGCTCCAGACCATTGTGACGAGCTCGCATTCGCAGCAGAGCTAGATGGACCCGCTACATAGCGGAATTCCTGCCGATAATCACGATCACCGTGATCACGATACGCGTCCGTGTAATTTCGTTCCCAATATGAAGTTCGATCACCTGAAAAAATTTGTTTATTCTTTACTTAGATAAATATATTGCGGCACTGTAATAATCAGAATTCCACATCATACTAATATTGACAAATCCACATTACTATACTTTGTTGTACCGCTATAGATCACTGCACTTTAACGTGAGGAAAATATCACTTCTTAAAATGACGTATTTTTAGAAGATTAGATCGATGACAAAAATCAAGTCCCTGATCTATAAAAATCCAATAAAGTATAGAGCACAAAACATGCTAGTAAAAAAACCTCCCAGTAAAAAATTACACGTTCGAAATTTCAAACATACCCTTATCCCGATAGTAATTGTGCTCTCGTCGATGTTCCCTATGAGGATAATGCTCGTGTCGTCCACCTCTTGCTCTATCCCGATAACTTGTGTGACTATAATGAGTACGATGGAAACTGCCACTACTACCGTAATCCCCGCGATATCGATACGATGAATCTTTATGGCTGTCATTCTCATTATGGCTCGAATATAATAAATTGGGTTGTTGCAGTTGCGACACAGATGGCTTGTAAGCGTCAGAATCGTCATTTATTATAACTGATTTTCTAAATTTATTGTAAAATCACTAGTTCTAATCAAAACTATGAACAAGGGAACTTGTTTCTATCATTTACTGTATATGGTGTGTCAGAGATAAAGACTGAGCACTTCCAATTAGCTTGTTCCCTCACAAAACCAAACAGTTACACAATACTTGCCCTCTTTCCTGCTCTAAAGCATCATCAGAAGGCTTAACGACCTCAACACCCAAAGATAAAAATTGGAACCTTCCTCCATCTGAGAATAGCAAAGCAAAAAGTTCAGTTTTTTTAATAAAACATAATCCTAAATGCATTTGTGGTTGCAAGTATTGAATTTCTCACAAAAAAATCTACAGCTGGTATTTTGATTAAAAAACGGTAGATCCCACTGGAATAGTACATTACAAATCTTCTGCAAACCATCAAGGTTATAGTCGAAGAATTAAACAGAAAAGATTTGGAATTAACAATTAACATAAAACTAATTTTTATAAATAAACTGGTATTTTAGTTGACAAATTCACATCAAAAATTTTTCAGATTTTATCGCCTTACCGATTTTCATCTTTTCCGCTGGTAACGGTCCCACGTTTTACGGAATGTTGTAGTTTTTGAACCTCCGGCTTACTCGAATGATGCCTCGTACCTGGATACCCATTGTTGTTTAAACGAATACGTTTTGAATTCTTATCAATTCTTGGATCGACTCCAGCTATGGTCACAATACTGTCATCTTTTCGTTCAACCACAGTGGTACCAATATCCCGAACTTCACTTGTACCAGTTGTTAACTTGTCATCTTCTTGACTCTTCTTAGTGTCGTGATGGTGATGATGACGATGATGACGATGGTGTTTACGATGAATCTCCTGAAAGAAACCTATATTTCTTTATGGTTTACGCATTAAGAAAGTGATAAATTCCTACAAAATTCTACCAGAAATTATTTCAAAGATCAAGAACTAAGAAAAAAAAACAATTTTAGACTGCTTGAAAGAAATACATAAATTTTAGGATATTTAAAGAAACCGAAACTGTTGAATCAAGCAGTGCGAAACCATACAGTTTCATTATTATTTGCACGATCTTTTGCAGCAATACGATAGCGCTGTAGTAAATCGCTGGGTTCTTGCCGAGTAAAACACGATAAAAAAATCCATAAATAAGAGTGCCACTTTCCGACGAGCTGTGATTTACTGCAACTGAGCAGCAATTAAAATTCGTAAACATTAGTAGGATGAGGATTGTAAAAAACAGCTTGATTCTAACAGGAAGGATGCAAACATGAAGATCAAACAAATTATGACCTAATGATGAAATCTGATCGCACGAATAAGGAACTAAAAAAGCAATTTAATTACACTGACTAGGATTTCAAATACGGTTCTATTAGTAGTAGTTTACTAATAAGTGAATTTTAATTATATAGACCTAAAATAAAAAGTAAAATAAAAAGTGAAGTCTGATCACGCTGATTCATCATTTGACTGAAATTTTAGAAAGCAATTTGATCAAGATGATTATCCAAAAAATGTTCAATGATACAAAGAGGAAGTGAAAAAATCGAATTTCAAAAAGGTGAATTTCAAGGAAAAAAAGAAAATGCTTTCCTGTACATGTGCGTACTTTCTTTTTGCCCTTTCCTTTTAGTCTTCTTTACTGATATATGAGCGACTTTACAGAAGATTTTTAACCGGAAGTTTTTAGATTAAAACCCAATCTAGGGTTAGATGTCTTGTTGGGTGGAAAAGGTGAGGACCCCGCACTTCAGTATCATGCCTATTTTGTAAAATCATTATGTTGCGCTATACTTTCAAAAAAATCGAGAATTCAGACCTCCATTGGACAAGACCTTCCTTGCTGTCAGTTCAACTCATAAAAAACTTGGCAAATTTGATAACTGCTGTATATAAGACATTTTTTCCACTACTTCGACTGCAGCAGTCTCCAAAAATTATAAAAGTATTTAAATGTAATAAAAATATTAAAATATCAGATCTTACAACAAAAATGTATATGTATATTTTTCACAGAAAACTAAATTCAACCATACGTTAAGCTAATTTTCCCAAGATGTTCATTGATATGATCACCGATCTTGAGTAAATGTCGCAGTGAATCTGTTGAGCTTAGGTCATCGCACTGTACTAGTTTTCGCATATACTTCTGAGCGGGTCGCATGATTTTGACACACTGAAAAAAAAAAAAAAAACAAAACAAAAAATCATCATTCTCTCTCTTTACAGTGCAATTTTGGAAAGTTTTCGAACGGAATATAACTATAACATTCTTCATAGACAACCAACAACTGATCAAGTTTACCAATTTATAAATATTTGTATTTTTCGAATTTATAAATTGCTTGATTTCTTTGATCATTCATCTGATTTGTTTGTATTATGTCATGCCAATTTTCATGTTAAGACTGCTAGGTCTATCTAGCTACATGATACGAAATACTAACAGCTATTGCTATAATTAGAACACGAATATCCTAAAAGAACCTTCAACCAGTTAAATGTTGCAGCTACGTCATCTGGTTGTACTGACACGTCAAATAGTTTATCATTAACAAGATTCAGAAGCTGTCTTGTCATTCAATGAAATGTGTTATTAAGATAACGGCAACTACATACCGGATTCATATACTGCCCGAATGGCCTCTACAGACTATCCCACTTGATCCATCGTATCACCCCTTAACTCCTGCTCAAACATCATTAAATGCTAAACCGACTTGCTAACATTATGTTCATTTCACACAATTATTACCTCTGCAAACTGCGGTGATTTCTTGTTCTCAACATCTTTTTTATACTTTGACTTGTTAATGGTTAAATGATCCAAACTGATCCCAATTCGTTCCTTCTTAAGCTGAAAAGTAGTAAATCTGTGGAAAATTCGAGAATGAAAACTATAATAGTTTAGATCAATACAAAAACACAAATGGTTTTTAGTGGCCCTTAGTATTCATAACGATATCTCATCTTGACTGGAGTTACAATTATGGTACAGACATAAAAACACAAAAGCACTCATACTTTTGGTTCTTTCTTTTCAGCATCATCTTTTTCTTCTCCGTGTTCTCCCTTACACTTCTTTTCTTTCTTTTCTTCTTTGAGTGTTTTCCTTTCCTTTAGTTTATCCTGAATCAGCATTATATTGTTACATAAAATAACTTAATTGGATGGTCATTTAGACTCATCAGCATATGCCGAAAACACAAAAAATTTAGCACTATTTTCATTTCGTAAAGCATCACAGCTACCGTCAGTTCCCTACGATACCTCCTGTTAATGGTGCGAAAATATGCTATAGCTCAACCGATATATCATCAAGTTGCTTCGTTTGATAAATCCGTTTGATAAATTGATAAATCGTTTGATCATCTAATTAAGTTATCGGTTACAAATGATTCTTCAACGAAGAAAATTTTACATTTACCGGTATTCCTAAAGTTGATGAAACCGATGAGTGATTTTTCTTCAGAGGTTTCAGTCTTGCTGAAATGTTTTCTGTGGCCTTCGTATAACGAGCAATATATTTCAAAAGATATTCCGCTCGTGCTTGAATATGCTTACTTTGTGGTTTCTTACTTTTATCCTTTAACCAAATCTGAAGCAAAAAAAAGATGGATTTTATCATTAAAAAAAATCGTTTCTGTATATTTAATTATGGTTCAGGTCTTCTTTTAACAATTCGCTGCTTTTTTTCAGTGCAATTCCAAAGATATCAGTCGTTGAAACTTATTCGTTCATTAGAAAAAAGTCATTTCACGTAACTTTTGACCAAGTTACAACACAGTTGGATGTACGCACGCTTATAATGATATCTTATACACGTTTTCATTTCACAAACTATTCCAGGCGTTGAAGCTTTCCATCTATAACTTCCGGCCAATATTTTTTTTAAGCGACACAAACTATAAAAGGTATACGAACTTTTTCCGCCAAACCATAATCGGGATCCATTTTGATTTCTTCCCAACTGCCGAGACCATATCGATAGATGCCTTTCAGCAGCGCTAAATCATCCGAGATATCCCATTCAACATCCCAACCTTTTTGTTCCTTCGGATAACCCGGAATTTGTAGCAATCTGATATCACCGGCACTCTTGACAAGATTATGCAGTGGTATAAGATCTGACTGCATCTTCAACAGCGGTCGAACATAGACATCAACATTCCCAAATTTAAAAATTGGTCCACGATCCTGAGAAAAATTGAAATTGCATTTTCTATGAATTATTAAAGAAATAATTCAAAATTTTGAAAAATTTCATGGAAATTTCTTATACCTTTCACAAAAATTTTTTACATCTGTTCCCTCATCTCTGAGTGTGGAGTCGAAAAAAACTTAGAGATCTCTATAAAACTTATAGAGAAAAAAGACATATAGAGATCTTGAAGGTCTATAATGAAGGCCAGACCTGTCTCCTTTTACCATCTTCCATAGGTTTCTTCATCGTTTCTTTGATTTTTTCTTCATATTCACTTTGAGCTTTCTGGCAACCAGCTAACAATTCATTACCAAGCTGTTCAAGCTCACTTTTGCTGAATTCTTCCAGTTCTGCATCTTGGGCTATTGCTTCTAATCTGCAATGTAATTGATTTCGAATCTCACTAAAAGAGGGATTCTAGCCAACTCCCCTCAGAAATTTCTAAGCTGAATGAATTACAACAAAATTCTCACCTTGTCAAAGGTTCTGCAAATTTCCGGAAGCTTCGCACGAATTTCCTTACTTCAGATTCAGAGAAATTAAACAATTTTTTCCGCGCACGTTTTGGTTTATCCTCATCGGAACCCTCTTCTTCGCTTAATGGTGAATCCTGACCACGTTTTCGCCTTTTTTCTTCTTCTCATCCTCATCACTATCACCAGCTTCTGCAGCTACCTCAGGAATCTGCAGGATATCCATTCCAAATTTTACTTTCCAATTTAAATTTAATTCAAAATGAAGGATAAATCTGTACTCATAATCCAACAACTTGAAGCGATTGCACATATACATATCACCCGAACACTTCTCCGATTATCAGATCTTATCAGCAAACATCATTGAATAATTGAATCGCTTCTGTCTCTCAAGTCACTCAGGTTAATCATCACTTAATGAAGAAGTGCTGTCAGGTCTGATTTGAAATGGTGCAACACCCATAAGACGTCATTACATATCTCAAGACCCGTACGTAAATCTCTCCTACGCACGGTAGTACTCACAGCACTAAACTTCAAATCAGTTAGTTTCACTCATTCGCTGATGAGTGGTGAATACATGAGTCTGTGTAAGCCATATAAGGACATTAAAATTCAAAAATGAAAAGTTATTCAACACAACACACCTTTGTCCTCTGTCTTGGTCCGAGGAAAAGCTCTTTTTCGGCTCGTTCACGTTCTTCATCAGCAAATTTCTTGCGATGAACTTCTGGAATAATTTCATCCCATGATTTCGATTCGGCCAAATCTTCCTGATTTAGTTCCATATGAACTGCTGCTGCTGTTGCTACGTTCAATGTTGGTACATCTTTATTCTCATCAAATGAAAAATCTGCATAACGGAATGCATTCAACAGTTCACTGCCACAATTCTGCAAATCCGGAGTAATTTGTTCGCTTATAACCACAATTTTGTAAACCCTAAAGTTCCAAAGCAAATCAATTAATATAGTCCACCGATATCTCTAGGGTACATTTCATCGATGTGTAGTAAAAACTATGACAGAAGAGAATTTTCGCCTGAATACCTGTTGATCACATTCTCGAGTTTCCGCACCTTGCAAAATATTATCAATATCAACTTCCGGTTCTTGCTCTTCACCTTCTTTTTCTTTAAAAAGCTCTTCGGCACCAAATTTCAGAATCATTGCCAGATCTTGTTTGTCAAATGGCATCGTGCCATTTGTCGCGCTAGTTTTCGAAAGTACCGTTCGACCAGTTGTATCCATCCTCTATAAATTCTCCAGCTTTTAAACAATATTTGAAAATCTAGATTCCTTTGAAAACCTTCAATTCTTTGGTTATGTCATCATAAGTACTGCAATGGAAATAAAATTCAAACTGCACCTGAATAATAAGGTGATCCAAGACTAGCTTCCTCTTTGCCCTTTCCACAATTTCCTCTTCTACCGATGCCTTTGTTACCAAACGATATATATTTACCTTAACAAGTGATGAAAATCATTTTCATAACTGCCATAAATTGGAAAATCCTTAAACAGCTAACTGGCCGTCCGAGGAAATATTAGTCTTTCTTTAATAAATACTTGAAATTACAGATTACCTGTTTTTTCTGGCCAATTCTATGTGCACGACTCATTGCTTGGAGATCATTTTGTGGATTCCAATCTGAATCGAAAATAATCACCGTATCTGCAGTGGCCAGATTTATTCCAAGGCCACCAGCTCGGGTTGAAAGCAAAAAGCAAAAATCAGGAGAATTTGGAGCATTGAAATGATCTAAAGCTGCCTTTCGAAGATCTGAACGCATCGATCCATCCAATCTCTGGAATTTAAATTTAAATGGAAACAGTAGCATAGCTACGCTACTTGACAGATAATTAAATTCATCAGAGATAAAAATGATATGATTTGATGAAAAATGTTACAGTTAAGCTTAAGGGGTAAGTCGGCCATATTTTACTATATTTCATTATGATATAATGGACGTTTTTGCTCTGTTCACAACAACGGTTAGAAAAGCTATTCCCAAATTGCAAAAGCTACTAGAATAAAGTTGATAACGTAGCAGAATATCGATTGTTAACAATTATATTCTGCTTCGTGCCCAGTTCTGATTTAAAGACTTCTTCAGCTGATTTTGGTGTCTCATCTTCAACGACTTCAACGCGATTCAGTATGATATAATGGAATATCAGTACGATATAATAGGATATAGTGGGATATTCAGTACGATATATGTAAATCGTCCAACCTATTAGGACCGGATCAGACAAATACCAGATGCCACTCAAAGAAATGTAAATCAATGTCTACTAAAAGTTAAATCAACTGCTTACTATACCCACTTGAAAATAATTTGTCCAACCATTTGATTTCAGCCATAAACGGTTCGATAATTTCTTGGCTTATTTAAAGCTTTCAGAATCTTCACCTTGCCGTCTTTCAAGAACATATGTCCAACATTATATTTTCACGTCACCTTAAGCTTTGGTCTTTTCTCGTATCGCACAAACCCTAATATGATTTTGCTCACGTTCTGAATAATGCAAATGATTTATGGATGAATTTCGAAATATTTACTTGTGAAGGAAAACGCCGAAGCTGAAGATATTCTTGCATGATATCAAGCATCATTACCATCTGTGAAAAAATCAGTACCCGATGTCCAGTTTCTTGCAAACGACATAACAATTTGTCCAATAAAATCAATTTTCCGGAAGACTTCAACAGTTGCTGAAATGTTCGTGTTTTCAATTTCAAAATAAAATCAAGTTGAACTTCGAAAAGAATGATATTGGAATACGATACAACATTTAGTTAATCCCTCTGATTTTGTATGAATCGAAATTTCTGAACTGTCTACCCACTATTATTTATAATAAACATAATTCATAAAAAAGTTAAATTGACTTCAGAGATCGAAAATGAACGAACTGCGAAGTTCATCCATAGGAGGTAGGATATATCAATTATCTCGGAAAGTAGAAGGGATTATTATTCGCTTCGATAATAAAGTTAAGGTCGGGTGTTTACCGACCTGTAAGGGAGCCGACAAATCTAATCCTTATTTTGATAAACGACGGAATAAGAAAAACGTACTGTTCTTTCATACCTTTTGAGAGCTCCTTGTAATTTTTGGCTCAAATCCATTTGTAATATTGGCACAATATTAGGAGATTATTCATCCGTAATTTTTATTGTTTATATCTGTTCTACACTTCATAGTACTCACACGATTTAAGAATTTCCTGTCGGTTTTGTCACCTAATTTGTTGAAATTTAAATTCCATCATGAAGACAAACCTGTAATCGAGCATCCGCACCTTCCTCGGGTTGATCATATGACCGAACAAGTGACGAGTGATTGCAACATTTTTTCAGTTCCATAACCAAGTTCACAAACCCATTAATGGATCCTTTTACACCTTTTGAGAGCTCCTTGTAATTTTTGGTTAAAATCCATTTATAATACTGTTTTTGTTGGGCAGTCATATCCACACGTAGAATTTGCTCAACCTGAAGGCACGTTCAACTGTTGAGAAACTAATCGAAGCAGCAATGGAAGGATTGATTTCAGGAAGATAATGTTGGTCTGTTTCGCAGATACGACGTATAATGTATTATTTAGAAGGCCGTCCTTTTATTTCTATTTTTCAAGCCATGATAAGCATAGAATGGATTATCGAATTTAGGAAATTTTAAAATTCAACTTTCAGAAATTCCCTCAAAACTCTTCCAGGCAAAAAATAATGATAAATGAAACCTTAGCTGGTAGTGACTTTTCCACATCCTTTTTTACACGTCTTAACAAAAATGGCTGGAGTTTTCGATGTAACGATGCAATTGTCTTATGATCCGAGTCGTGATGTTCCGCTTCAAATTCTGGCCAACTATCAAATCTGTAAGAAAAAGATGAAATAGCTGACATTCGAACTAATCAAAATAAACAACGTTTTTTTCTAATGAGGGCATCCTCGAATGTAATTCTACCATTCCACATTCTTTCTTGCAATTAAAAAAAAAAAAAAGAAAAAAAAGAAAAAAACTCAGATATTAAATTTCAAAGGTGCTAGCTTTAACAATGCAAGAGAGCAGAAAAACATTAAATTTACTGTGATTCATGAGGGTTAAATAAATTGTATACTAGAATATTTCACTACCCACAGATAACCTAACAGAAAGAATTAAAATGCTATGTTTCCTGTGGTTTCCTCAGTTACCTCTTTTATGTATAAGTTATAGTGGCACGTGACAAAAATTTATTATTACAGGTGATGTTAATAGTTTCACTGTATGCTTAATATTACATCCCGATTTCAAGTTGCTTCAAGATGACTATTCCAGAAACATAAATAAGCATTGATACAACAAATGATCCCCAAATTTATTTTCAAAAACGAGAAAACCCTATTTTCTGAACACTTACTTTTCAGGCATAATAAAGTGCAGCAAGGCCCAGAGTTCTTTCAGTGAATTTTGAAGTGGTGTTCCGGTCACCAATAATCGATGATTTGTTGTAAATTCGAACAACGAACGATATAACAGTGATTCATCATTCTTTAAACGGTGCGCTTCATCAACGGTTAATACAGTCCACTCAAATGATCCAAGAAAGAACTAAAGATATGCAAAATTTATTTGCATAAGAACCCTACAAGCACTACTTTGTAGATTATCGTAAACGTAACCATTCATAATATGTCGCAGTAATGCATAATAAGCAAAATTCACATCACTTATATAAAAGATTATATCAAATAGTTTGGATTTATTACTACTTCCTGCTATTATCAACAGTGTAAAACTTACCTTATCTTTCAGAAGGATTTCGTACGTAGTTAAGACGACATTCACTTTTAGGCGTTTTGTGCTCTGCACGTATAATTCGAATTGTCTTATCTGTAAAGTAATTCTTTTAAACTTCTACGTTACATGAGTACTGAACTAAATTATTCAAATTACTATTATAATTTACACTTCTATATAATCTTTCTTTTGTGCAATTATAAGTTACACTTCTATCCATGTTAAACTATGTGACTGCATTGAATTCGTAAGCTATTAAACATAGCAAAATAACAAATTGTGAAGTTGTTAAAAACTAAAAACTATGTAATACATTTATCAAGTTATCAATTTCACTGAGCAATTCAGTTGCTATAAAATTATCCATATCCATATTTGTCGAAAACAGTACATTTATTACTTATGTTTTACGTAATAGCACTGATAGATTTAAAAATACTATTTTAAGTTACGACAAGTTAGCTAATAAAAAGTACGAAAAATATGAAAATAAACAATAACGTAAGAAAAATTAATGACCAGATCACGGCTCGTAATATCACCAACATAAGTAACAACATTAAGATCTGGTGCCCAAGTTTCGAATTCACGTTGCCAGGAAGCTATTGTACTTAATGGTACTACAACCAGAAATGTTCCATACAATTGATATTTATGATAGAGTACCGAAAGAAAACTAATGCTTTGAATTGTTTTACCCAAACCCATTTCATCCGCAAGTATGCAACTATTCTCCCTGAAATTACATTGAAAATCCTTGCGAATAACCAAGAAATTAAAGCAAGTTTTAGAAGTGATTGACAATCCTATCTTCGCTTCCATTTCTCAACAAAAAATGGTGCATCAGGTCCTATTTTCCTATTTTTGGTCGAATCACGCCAAATTTAGTTAAACCACATTTACTCACTCACATCTATTTCCATTGCTGAAACCCACTTCAACCATTGCCGAATTGTATTTGCTTACTTGTTATAATATAAATTCGATAGTTTCTATTACGGTGATACTATTCACATGCGTGAGTCTTTGAATTTTATGTCCCGCCATATTATACGTCATAAACGAAGTTAGCAAAAATAAAACCGTATGTTTAGCAGGCAGCACATTATCTAAGAGTATTATTTTTGGAATAAAAGCAGTGCATTATATTAAATCATAACTTCCCTTTCTATTACTGATCAAACAGTTCTGAAATTCAATCACGCTAAGATTCTAAAACCAACTTTGTCCAAGCATGTAGCATCCAATTCACTCCTTCCAGCTGATAATCGCGTAGTTCATGCTCTGGATCATCCTTCCGTTGAAGGAAATTTGGGATATTATTCAGCTTTTCAAATTTTGGGCGCTTCCTTAAAGCCTGAAAAAATAACGATGAACCAGATCAGCCTAAAAATAAAAGTTCAAGACGAAGAGAAGTCACACTGAAAAAAGCACAAAAAAAGAGATGCCGATGGACGGTAAAAGACGTAAAGGCATAATAGCTTACTCTATATGGATGCGGTAGCCTACCTCTATAAGTTTAAGAAAGCTTGCCGTACATAAAAGCGCTAAAAAACGCCACAGTTTCGCTAAAACGGACCGGTGTGAGGAAGATCATACAGCTTTATCATACAGGGAAAGATATTGAAACTTATTGCATTTTAAAGTAAACAATTTGTTCCATTGCTTAAGTGGGAGTATCACATTATAAGTAAAAGAAAGTATACTCTGTATCGAAGCCGGAAAATCCTAATTTACGAGAAATTTTATACATTCCAATGACAAATTACATCGAAATGCAACTTTGTTCTCGAACACTGCTTTTAAAAACTTTTAAAACAAAATAAAAAAAGAAACTTGAAAACAAACCGGACAATGTTTATTCGGTATTTTTCCATTATCACGTCGATCATAATATGCATCAATTTTATCTTGAAATTGTCGTGCGATCAAGTGTTCCTCTTCCCATGTGCATTCAGAATATGGTAAGCCACACCATTTTACAAAATATTCCATTCCTTCGCTTTCTCCCTGACCACGCGATATCTGATGAGCTATTACTCGTTCAATAACCTGAAAAAATTCATTCCTTTCGGTAAATATGTGTTAATCACTGAACCAGAACTGCGCTATCTCTTCACTAGAGTAATCATGTACTAGACAACATTAATGTTTAGTATATGTTTAGTTACGCGGAAGAAAGCTCAACGATACCAACTACGCAACCATTCCCGTTTATCCATCAGATGATTACGCATTGATGATGGAACGAATTACAAAATTGGTTCCAACTAGTACTCGCTTTATTTTTTGGCACTGGAATTAGGAGCATCTGACATTCCCAATGAATGACTGGAATGACTTTAATTCTAACTATAAATTGAAAATCTTTGGAATCATTCTGATCTTAATCACAAACTCATCGAAATAAAGTGCTCTTTATATACGAACTGAAATCTTAAGAAAATCAAACCACTTCAACCTCCATCTTTTTCTGCCTTCTCCTCCTTACATACATATACATTACCAATGTATTACCTTATATTGTTCATTAAGCTCATCATTCATCTGCTGCTCACAGTCGAAAAATTCGATATATTCTTTATCTGCAGTAAGTTTCCTGGAATTACGCAATCATGCAAAACTGTTTCTTCGGAATTATGAAAAAATTCGGAATTTCGATCTCAACTTCTAATCTATTTTCACTTTCAAAATCAAATTCCAAGAGCGCTTCAACTATTGAAACTAACCATTCTTCGATATCTCTTAAACGTTTCATATAATTATCGATTTTCTTCAACCCTTTGGCATTACATAACTTTAAGCTATTTTCCGATTCCCATGTATTATGAAGATGTGACCAGCCTAACCATTTGATTAAATACTGGCGTTCCAATTCTATTTCACCTCCGTTTTCTGAAAATATAACATTTGTAATATGACAGCTCACGTTCTTTTCTTTTTTTTTTGATTTTATTTTTACCACTAACACCATTTAGAACGAAGAAGTTTGTCAAAAATAAGGCATATGTATGTCTAACATAGCCATGCACGGATAAGGAATACTGAACGCAGACTTACAATGTTTTACTGGATGTCAGACTCTGATTCATTTTTTTTTTCTGCTTCAATATATATTGCGAAATCTTCAAATTATATTTCAAACTTAGGAAGTCTCCTGCGGAAAGTTTCTAAGACTCTGCACTAAATCATTTCATATAATAATTATCCTTGATATTTTGATCAAAATTTGATTGATAATTTTCCTTAATTTTTGTTTAGTTCAATTACATGAAGTACGACCTTAAAAAAGCAAAATCAATGAATCAGCATTAAAACGTTTATCGAACTTCAATCCTGTTCATCATTTTCTCGCGCTACTACTACCAGTGCAAAAAATATTTTTTCACAATTAGTACCTGCTAGTTTAACATTCGGATCACCTTTATCCTCTACATTGTAGCATGTTGTCGGTGCTCCGGTTGCTCCTGGATATCCTGCTCGATGACGTAATACCTTTTCGATCGTTTCACTGCCCAAAGTATTATGATCTCCTGAACCACCACCTTCTACTTTATCACCTTCATCCCATTCTAACACATCATCAGAATTGATCTGAAATTTAAGATATAAACTACTATAACAATGGCAAATATGACCGAATACCGATGCATAAAATGCCTGGGTGATCAGTAAATACCTTACATCTGAATGATCCATACATCAAATATTCCAAGTAATTATGCTTGATGCCATCATCATCTAATTTTCAAACTGGTTATGATATTACGGCAAAAAGACGCGATACAGGCATGTTTATGCATATCTGTGACTCGTCCACGATATGGCGAGTGATTTTGGTTAAAAACAAACCAAATAGAAGCTAGTGTATTGTTTATAATAAACAAGAGGTATAAGAAGTCAAACGATTTTAGAATGAGGGAAAATTTACAACAACCTAACATCCTATTCTGAAATTGTTAGGGGTATCAGAAATAGTTCCAAATGATCGTAATATAGAAATGATGAAAGAATACAACGCCGTTTTTTTCTAACATTTCTTTGCCATAATTATTGTTAAGTTAAATCATCCCTAATTTTAAAAGTATTTAGTTTTACGTGATTGTTTCTTTCGTTGATATACCTGATAACAGGACTTTAAATTTGCCGACGGCACTTAAGCAATACACTTGCTACAACTATTAAAGTCATAGGCTTTTTGATGACCTTTTGATTGCAAGAAAAACGTATGATATTTAATGTATGATATGACCTCCTCGTCCGAACTAATATCCCGATAATTGATGCGATTTTTTTCACCATCAACTTTGCTCCGACGTGTAGTACGTACTCCTCCCGAATCATCATCAGAACTTATACCACGTTTCCGAGGCCGCTTCTTTGCTTGCAATTTCCTTGGTTTTTGACGCACCTTTTGTGACATTGTAATTCCCGACGATGATTCACCGCCACTAGTTTCATCCTCTTCGGATTTAGGCAATTTCCTGCAAGAGTGAAGAAGACCTTAAACTATGACTTCCAGAAAATTGTTTCAAACATTACAATAGTAAAAATCATACCTTTTACCGGATTTTTTTACTGTTTCGTTTGTCCCCTTCTCTGTATTTGAACCAGTTGTCTCCTTACGCTGCCTTGAAGATCGTCGCAATATATTCTCATCTTCCAGAAACTTAATAAAATATAACTGTCAATAATACGAATAACTATTTATGATCATCTCAGTCACGACATTTTGAACTATTCCAATCTTGAATTACATCATTTCATTCTACAACCTTGCTTTTAGCAAGCCAAAATTGCTTGAATTTAACGAGGAAGTAGTAATTAGGCAATCTTTGATATAATCTTTTAACCTACAGAACAGAAATTTTTTCCAATCATACCTTTCGTGTTTCATCTGTAATTCTGACACCACGTTTCTTTTTTACCGTACCAACCTCTCCATCACCACTTTCAGCACTGAATACTGAATCACTTTTCGGTTCATTAACACAGTAATCACCATTTTCACTATCTATAAGTATGCATAGGATATGTAATTTCCATAAGGACTGATTGATTTCCACCTTTCAATTACTGAATTGAAGGAGAAAAAGTTGTGAGGTATAGTATAAAATCATTCCTTTTAAATAATTTTAAATACTTAGATAGAGATCAATTGCCAGCATTAATCCTTACTTTTCGAACCGGAAGCATCACTTTCACCATCCTTCGTATCCGAATCACTCTTTGAGCTTCCAGTTGATGACATTTCCCCATCGTTGCCTTCTTCGAACTTCTTTCCTATGCTACTGATTCCACTGCTTTTTGTTGATTCTAAAAGAAGATTAGGTATAGATTAGGTAAGAAGATTAGGTTTTTTTCATTTCGTTAATTGCGAAGAAGTTTATTTCGCAGAAAGCAAACCATCAAACTGCTGATTTTTTATCATTTATATATAAGTACAAAATATAGTAAACAGTAGCATTATTGATTTCTTGGCTAAGATTTTCATTCTCACATCCTTTGAAGAAGGTAGTAATTGCCAACAGTTTCGCACTACCATCAAGTAAAACGTTTCTGCATATTTTTCTACAGAATGGCAAGGATTTTTCCTTTTTTAAATGTGCTACAAAACAATTCGCGCTGAAAGCCTTATGTTTAGCGGAAATTTCATCTTCGTTTCAAAATTTTGTTTCTTGAGCGAAAATCACGAAATCAATAAATGCATGGATTTTGAAAATTGGACTGGAGAGGAAAGTTTCATCAATTGAAATTTCATCTTAATGATTTTTGGATGAGAAGGAGGAAGGGTAGGGAAAGGTGAAGAGGCACAGAGATATAGATTAGGAGAAAGAAAATAAGTTGCAAGAAGTTTTTTACTTTTGCAATTAGTTCCTTTCAGACAGATGATCTGATTACACGTTTTACGGATGTGTAATCGGGTCATCCATTTCAAAAGTTAACTTCACACCGTTGCCAGATACAAAATCATGTCATATTGAGTTGACCGATCGAATAAGCTCCAATGATTAAAAAGATGAGTTGGATGGTGATGGAAGAAATATTTTCCTCGATAATTAAACGGATTTTTCTCAACAACAAGAAACTTACCATATTCTTTGAAACTTAAAAAAAAAATCTCAAATTCTAATTGAAATTCTTTAAATTCTGTAAGTTGTAATTTTTCGATTTGAAAACAGAAGAAAATCAACAGCTTTCTAGTATTTCCCACTTTTCTTTAATACACAATCGGATCGAATGCTTAAAAAAAACTCGTATATATTTTTCTTTCTTCTGGGGGAAATTTCTCCAATCCTTCCAAAAATCACTTCCTAATATCTTGAGTTAAAATCCAGACGTAAAAAAAAGGAAAAAACGAGTTGAAAAATTGAAAGCAGACTGGAAAAAGATTTGGAGGAAAAACTGTTGCAGTTATATTAGGGAATCATTACGGAATGTCCCGATAAAAAGAAAATTTGAGAATTCGAAAAACTTTTTTGCATTAATTCAAACTTTGACATAAAATATTTTTTACATTGATTCAAACTTTAATGTAGAAGATTTTCAAATATAAAAAAATTTATTACATTCAAAATTCTTTACTTTTATTAGACTGAAACGAAACAAGAGACCGTGAAAAACACACCTTGTCGTGCGGTTAGATCAACCGTAATAGTTCCTTGATGATCTGATATACTTTCACTTCCGCTACTTTCTGCTGTGAATTCCGAATCTGAGCTTACAGATGATGATGATGATGGTGATGATGATGATGATGATGATGATGATGATGATGATGATGATGATAATGGCATTTTTTCACAAAGTAACAACAGGAATAATACACAGATATAGTATACAGTAATAAAATGATGAACAGTATATTACAGGACAAACCGCTACTTTGATGCTTCAAATCATCGATAAAAAGACCTGAAATCAAAATTTACACAATTATTTATTACAATGCTTTTCGGACTTGTTTACTTAGATGAAAATAATTTAATAAGTCGGCACAAAACAAATCTTTTTCGTAGTGGTCATCCCTCTAACAGATAGTTTTAAGAATATATTAGGCTGTATGCTAGACCAAACTAAGTGACCAGTAGAAAGGCCACAATACCCGGCTATACAAATCACATCCTACTTTTCCAGTGAGAGAAAAAGGAACGATGAATTGATATGATAACATTATCAATGTGATGTAACAGATTCACATCGTTTTTAAATCAGCTAACTTAGTTATAATATTACATATAAATTCATCTCATAAGTTTTTAAATAAATGAATTTAATCTAGTTGGATTTAAAAGAAGAAGACAGTTTATTTTGTATTCAATTACTACGAGAAAAAAGAGGGACACTGTGATTGGCAACAATGTAGGCAAATCACCGGTCAGTAAAGAAAAGCTTTGGAACAAAATAGAAAAAAAAACTGGGGACTTCTCATTGATAAAAACTGCAATTGACTTAAGAGGAAGAAACCTAAGCGGATCTTCATGGTTTTTGCAGAAATTTTCATGAACACTTACTTTATTTCTTATAGATGATTCGAAAAATCAAAAAGGAAACCCATAAAAGTAATTTAGAAATTTTGAAACTTAAAATTATTGTTTCAAGAAAGCCATAAGAGGTAAAATCATAGTATATATTCGATTTCTGATTTGCAATATTTTGAAAAAAAAAGAATTAACATGTTGTTTAAAAACTAATATCAATTTTGAAGAAAACATATGTAAAATTTAAAATCAATTTATGGCGGCGTAACTAATTCAAATTTAAGAATTGTTTTCAGCAAAATTAATGCAATTAATGATTAGTTTAATCATGCAATCCAGTAATTATATGTTTTTTATCTTTTCTTCTCAGTCTATTTGGCCCAAAAAAGGATCATGTATTTACAGGATATTTAGTGATCAGGTTAGTATCCGTCTCAGACCAATCAATAAAACAAGATATGCTGCTCAATGCTTACAAAAGCTGATCAATGTCAGAAGACTTATGTTCCCATCTTCTCAGCATTCTCCTTCGGCTTATAAGAGCACAAATGTCATCATTACCAGTGTTAGGAAGTTAGTGTTTAAATCAGGTGAGGTTTAGGTTCTCAATTTTTGTGGCTCTACAGTAATAATTCACTTCTTAATCATGTGATACGTTACATATAAATTAGTTAATGAAAGTGAAATATATCTTTTAGTTTTTGAAAATCTTTCGCATCTATTTTGAGAGAGGGGAAGGGGAGATAAATGACAGCATAAATCTCGTCTTAACTGATTGTCTCTTCTTTTAGAAAATCTTTCGGCTACTGTAATTATTACTCCTTAAAGAGTTGGCATTATCGAAACAATCACTATCATACGAAAATGCCGAAATGGCATTGCTGTTTTCCGAGTTATGGCGCTGCAGTATGTGGCACCCATCGTACAGCACAAAATCCGCCGGAATCAAATACGACCGTGGAATTCAGGTCTACTACTATGGGTAGAGTTTCTTTTCGTGTTCGGGATATATTAGACGAGATAATTAGCATGTGCAAATGTAGCTATTTGAGATTTAATTCTAATTCAGCGAACAGAAAAATATCAGAGTAATGGGAAAAAATTTTGGAAAAATTCCAAAAATGCTACCAAGTTCGGGAAGTTAAAGGGGTAATGCCGCCGGAACCAGAAGCCGAGCTAAATTGGTGAGGAATGAAATGAATGAGCATTAAGGACTAACTCGAACTAACGATCGGCAAGCCAGTAAGACAACAATCCAAAACACCGATTTGGCTCTTCTCCACCTATCTGTTAACGAGCATTGAGAGTCCCCAGATTACCAGTAATATCAAAGTGGTTGAAGTAGCAGAGATCCCGAAATTGGTAGCAAAACTATAGGTACGGATAATCCTTATTATAGCAACAAAGCAACCAAACAAAAATATATGTGTCGAATGCAAACGTTATTGATTCCTCCCAAATTTCTCGAACATCATCACCTTTTAAGATATTTCAAGAAAATAAAAATACCTGTTTCGCTTATTTAGGAATCTCAAACAACAAACAATCCATATCACAGCAGAACGATATGGCATACGCACACACACACACACACGCACACACACGCACACACACATACTCGCACATATACTGATCACAAATAAATTTCCGATGTGCTGAATTAGCGATCAATAAACAATTACTACATCAATAAGAACCAAGGATCCCTGGAATCTAGCGGGGGGAATATTCCAGAATTGGGAAAAATCCTTGCAAAGCAAATAATACTGCATAACGTTCGGGTTCATGAAGACTACTTCCAATCGTCCCAAAACCCTGTAAACTTCGTCACTGACCTCGGGAACACCATAGCCGGCACCACCATCATCATCATCACCATCATTGCAGAAAGGAAAGACGCAGAACGCGAGTCGCAACGCAACACAAAACCCAAACGTTATTGAAGTGGGAGAAGCAAGATATTCCAAACGGGACACTTTCAGCTACAAAATGAATAAGCGGAATTTCAAATTTGTCAAATTCCTCTTTTCCCTCTTCCACAAGTTACCTTGGGAACTTTCTCAACCCTCTTGACTTTCTCCTGGATCATTTAATGCGCAAAAATGCAATCATTTTTGTAACTTTTAAAAAATTTATTTAAAATTTAAAACAAAGGCAAAGTAGAGAAAGGATACGACAATAACAACGATAATATAGGATTAAAAAAGAAATCTAAGCTAACGCAACAAACATCCGAAATAACTGATGATACAACCTAAGGCACAGGAAAATGACCACTTTAAAATCTGAAATTTTCAAAGTGAACCAAAAGAAAACATATGCAAAAATTCACATCACAGCTTCATGGAATGATTTACGTATCTATCTAGTAGTAAGTAACTGAGGTTGTTCGGATTTCACACAAAACGAGAGTTCATCGCCTATTTATCACTTATAATTTACTGATACTTCGTGGTTAATAGATGATGAATGTTGAAAACTAAAAAAAAAACAACAGCGGGAAACAAAAGAATATTACTGAAATGCAACTATCAGCTGCCGAATTTGGAAGATTGAAAAGACAGTTCCACCATCAAAAATGGAACAAAACAAAAAGAAAAGCGGAACTACAACATTTGCCTTCTTGGATCTAACCTACGCCAATCAAACAAGCAAAATTTACCAAACCACAAAAAGGATTCCGAAATTTGAATATATTCATGCATCTGAATTTTCAATTCGACTTCAGGTGAGTGGCATGAGAATACTCAAGTAGCACCTTATTCCAGAATTTTAGTCTACACAGGGTCTGAAATTAAATACATATATAATATATATGTAAATACTCAATAAATTAAATAAGCAACAATTGATTAACATTAACCGACAATGGACGGATGAATCCGGCTACTGTCATAAGTCTGCAACAAGCGAACTTAAAATCCAACGCTCTTCATTTCTACTTCAGTTTTAAAAATGATCCCGACCCTTTACAATTCTTCCTTCTTCTTCGGTTTCCCGTCTCTCTTGTATCCTTTCAGTTCTTCCGTTGCATGCTTTGCAATGTATTTGATAAAATCATCCACTTCCCGACCGCCAGAGTATGGTTCCGGCTTGTCCTTTCTATTCTTCGGTATCCAGTAAAGGGTTGGAAACCTATAATGGAAATGATAAAACAAGAAAAGGTTTCAGATGTCCCAGCATAGCAAGATCCGACCAAAGCTTTATCAAATACCGCGCACCGCGCAGGTCATCCATGGAAAGAGCTGGAAAGTGAGGGATCTGTTAAGTGAGTGAGAGATGTCACAAATATCAGCGATTCAAAACAAATATAAGAGTTGTTTACTATAGCTAACACCTAACGTGGGCAGACACAAAGATCGACATGAGTTAAACCTTAAAGTGAGAATTCTTAATAGTCGTTTGACGAAAACCATGCAGACGTGCACCGTTATTTCCACAGTTAGAATAACTCAGATTGCAACCAGTGTGAATTATTTATGAATAAAGCTTTGCGGTAGCTTTTAGGGTATATCTAATGTGAAAACAGATAAGGCTGGTATTTCTAATACCATGAACTTTGGATCATTCTTTACAGTTGCTTTATGCAAAAAAGTGAGGAACCCAAGAACTTTTTGCCGAAAAAACTTGATATCTGGATTGAGTCAAACTTATCAGTGGAGCGAAAATAATTAGAAAACTTTATAAAAAAAGGATAGTCCCAATCATATTTTTAAATATTAATGAAACTCAATAAATGATTTTTTCATCGCCTAAAGCAGTGCCAATAACCATACGTCAAATTCTGTTAAACAAATAAATGACATGACGACAATCGATAAACCCGCGTTGATAAAAATGAGATAGAAAATTCGCTTAAACTTCAGGACCTATACCTTACACGAGTTCCAAATTTTAAGTTTGCAGGAGGTAATTCAGGAAGCTGAACAGTCAAAAGTCACTATTGGTTTATTTGGTAATGCAGAACGCAAATCATGAAGAACATTAATCATGATGATATAAAGGGAGATTTTGGAGATTTAATGATGAATTGAAAAACAAGTCGAGGTATGAATGACAATCGGATGACAATTAACTGTAACCTACTGGTATAGTTGAATCACTTTTGTGAAGAGCATATTTGTTGCTGATGTCAATTAAATCATAGTAACGCACGTGACGGAAAGCGACTGTGGTATGACACTACGACGTACTTTATTTGACAAAACAGTGAAGTTCGTTCAGTGAGGTAGAAGAATTTAAGCACTTTTATCCGAAAGAAAAAGCTTTCCATTGCGGATAAGGGCTAGCTGAATTCTATATGCCAGTTAATTTCATTCCAATGGATGAAACACATTACGCGTACTTATAAATTTAATTTTCTGCGGTGTAAGAAAGGAGTATATGTCATATGTTGCACAACAAAATACAACCTAATTACTGGAAACGATTACGTAATGTTGAAAGATAGTAAATAAACTACTAGCAATCTTAAATATGTCGAAAAGACGCTATTATTTGTTGGCTAAGCCAGACGCACCGAAGATTCAAATCAATAAGTTGATAAAGAAGATGAACGACTGATGAATCGCTATCGAGATCATAAGACGTCATTATATCGGCATATATCTACACAATTACCATCAAATATCTAGGATATAACGATCCATACTCTATACTCCCATAACTTTTCGAATCAATAAAAAGGATATGGCGAAAAAAAAAAACGTGGTTGAAGCTCACCCTTGCACTTGGAATGGTGGTGGTACATCATTCGCCGTTGCATCCATTTTTGCAATAACAACACCTGATTCGCCAGATAATTTTTTGCCTAATTCATCATATTTAGGTGCGAGTGCCTTGCAGTGTCCACACCATGGAGCATAGAATTCAATCAAGCATCCTTTTCCACATCAGTAACCATTTCTTGAAATGTTTTAGCAACAATGACCTAAAAATACCTGAAGTTAGAAGGCCATCCAAGACAGAAACGATGAACAGCGACCAATTGCTTTCTTAAGTTTCATTGTATGGGGTAACTTTGTGAATAAAAAGTGACAGAAAGTAGTGTTTGAG